AAAGAGATTAATTTTGACAGAGTGAATGAAATTAATTCAAGGGAAAAAAGGATGTATTTTAAGTTTCTTCCTGATAAATATTCTCATTTCTAAGCCAGATGGAAGATATTCTTCTTAAAAATGGTCTCCCTGTTACTTCCAAACCTTCCTCTCTGACACCTGACTGAAAACCCAGGAAGCACCCCTGTTCCGCGCCACATCGGTGTTTACTGTCATTTGCTCCCTTTGGAGAACATCAGATATTGTACACACTAAACCAGATTGGCAGAAGGACTTGAAGGAGCCAGATGCAGTAAATCTGATTTGTCATTATCAATTCATTAGTGATTTTATATGTTGAAGAAATTCTTAATTGCATGGCAGCTTGGAAAATCATATTACACCAGGGAGTAGAATTTGCTAAGCCAATGCTTTTCTCCAAATGGGAATTTAGAAAGAACTCTTATTTGCAACAGGAAACATGAATCAGTACTGACATTTACTAAAATGTTTTAATGGGTAAGCTCAAGCATTTTGTTTCAAGAAGCTACTGGCCTAACAAGACCTGCCATTATTATCAATGGTAATTAGGTACATTTCCATGAAGTTGTCTAACCTGTTTTATTAAGCCTATAAACTTCTTTGACCATCTTAAAGGAACTAAGAAAGGACAAAATAAGAAGGGTGGGAAGTAGAAAGAGCCAAGGAGCCGAATGCTTTTCCAGTTTGAGAATTTTGGAAACTATCACTTTTGCTTTCAGCCTTGCAATCAAATTCTTATTTTCACCAGCTTACAACCATTATTGCATTTAATAGAAGTTGGCGGTTGATGGGTATTTTTATACATGACTCTGCAGCTTCAAATTATCAGTTATCTTCAGTTTCTGGTTATCAGGTATTTAGCCAGCAAAGGCATACACTATCTCCATGAGTCAATCTGTGATAAGAGGTTATCTATCACCCACCAAACCAGGCAGTAGCAAACCAGAACAGTACGAAGATTTAGAATCTTCCCTTTCTAGCTCACACACCATTATTGCTTGTCTTCAATTTTCTGGATAATTTAGGGTTTTATTTAATATGATTCTTCAAAAACTTAATAGTCATCCTAAACAAATCAAGGTCAGCCTATCAACACAAAGCAGCATTTTCCACACTCTGAGTAATATGCTTTCCACATCCAAGGGGTTCTGTGACTAAAGAGGTATGGACAAACATGTCACCAGGTTTCTTCACTACAGGTATTCTCAGATTCCTTCATGTGGTAATAGACATAGTGAATCTCTAAGAAGAAATACAGAATATACTGTTTTCCAGCTCATTTGACTACAGAGCTGTTTTTGGATGGAGGACCATCTAGTGGGGCCAGTGTCCCAAGCATCATACTTTGGGAACTATTGCTGTTCAAGTATAATTGTTATTCTTGAACACCTCCCTATTGTTAATGGAGCACCGGACACTATAAGGAGACTCCAGGGAAGGAGCAGCATATTAGTAATGATTGATTTTCCCTTCCCACAATATCCACCAAGCACCTACTGCAGACAAAGGTTCTGCCATCATCCCTTGAAAATAGTAAGGGCATCACATTCCTTCAGTGAGTGCATATGGGAACAGGAGTGACCTGTCCGGGAGACATGTCAAATCTGTTAAACTCCTCACCCTCACCTCATATCAGAGGAACTTGATGTCCAAGTTATCCACCAACATTACTTTTTTTTTTTTGTCCCCCACCCCTACTCCTTGATCCACCAACATTCTACTGTCACTTCTCACAGCACTGATGAGAAACCCTGGAAAGTAAATGGGGTTTTTGATTTTTCCTTTTTTTTTTTATTAAGATGAAATTCACATAATCTAATATTAACCATCTCAAAGTGAACAACCTGGTGTCATGTAGTACATTCATAATGTTGTGCAACCACCAACTCTTTCCAGTTCCATTTTCATCACCCCAAAATAAAACCCTATACCCATTAAGTAGTTACCCCTCTGCCCCTCCAGCTCTTGGTAACCACCAATCAACTTTCTGTTTCTATGGGTTTACCAATTCTGGATATTTCATATAAATGGAGTCATATAATTTGTGACCTTTTATGTCTGGCTTCTCTCGGTTACCATAATGGTTTTTTTTAGATTCATCCATGGTGTAGCATGTATCAGTACTTCATTCCTTTTTATGGCTGAATAATATTCCATTGTATGGATATACCACCTTTTATTTATCTATTCATCAGCTGATGGACTTTGGGTTATTTCCACCTTTGGGCTGTCTTGAGTAGAGCTGCTATGAATATCTGTGCGCAAGTATCTGTTGGGTCCCTGTTTTCAATTTGTTTAGTTACATACCTAAGAGTGGAATTGTTGGATCATGGAAATAAAATTCTAAAGCATATGGATTCTAATAAAATTCATATGATTCAGCTAGCTTGAGACAGTTTTTAATGCATCTAAAAAAGATGCATATAAAATGCACTACCCTCAGGAAGCTTAGAGGATAACTTGCTGAAGCAAGTTTCTTCTCCACACAAAACACACCTATTTCTCCCATGAACAACAGTCATTTTCAGTGAGCCATCTGAGTTTCTGTTACTCAGCTATCTAGAGTTTCTGTTGTCTTCTCATCCAATAAGCATTTAACAAAGACAATAAGTAGAGATGCCTTTTGGGAGCTCTATTATTGGGATGTGTTGTATTCATGTGAAAGCAGAAAATAATGAAGAAGAAAAAAGGTTGACACCAGCACTAGGTCAGCTATTCTGGAAAGATTTCCAAACATCCAGAATTGTTTTAATAGTCAAGTAAAATGCTTCATTTGAGTGTATGTCTCTGAGAAGTGTTAATTGTTGATTAAATATTGTTGAATAGACTGAAAACATGAAATCCAAGCATATTAATTAAGCAGGGAATTCAAGCATAGTTCTCACTTTCCATAAATGTTTCCAAATGCTTAAACTAGGCCTCATTCCAAAGCCATTCTTCCTATGGGGACGTGGAGAAAACCTTGGCTCTCATCTAATTATTATACATGATATTAAGAATTTACTGAGTTTAAATTTCCAGGAAGAAAAGAATGAGGTCTATCACCAAGGGAAACATTGGGATTCTCACTTAAGTAAATCTACATTCTAAAGTGTTATTGCTTATATTACAGCTATTATTGGCAGTAGAAATACGCAGCAATAGTCTTCCTTTACGTTTTAATTTCAGTTAAACTTAAGGTGTTACAAATAATATGGGCATATAAACAGAAGAGATGAGTATATTAATTATGATACAGTTTGTCAGACTTTAACATTCATGGTAGTAGATCTTGGGATTGGTACATCTTGATCTAATGTAGCTATGGTAAATGACATGGAGATGGCTGAATTGCTATTATCTCCAGAACTTCCTGGAAGGGACTTAAGGTTGGCAGTAGGATCTAGCAGGTCATTGTCCTAGAATATATGTGTGGTCTTCCCCTAAACCAGACTGGGAAAATAGTCTGGGTCTTGTATCCACTGGCATCTCACAGGGCAAAGAGGGACTAACCGGATAGACACATGGAGATTCTGCCGCTGCAGGCCTCTCAGAATGGGGTTGTACCCTTCCACAGAGCAAGGTTGACCTGCTCTGGCCTAATTATCTGATGTGTTGAGAGGTGAGTCACTTGGGAATGTGTTTGCTGGGTCTGCTTTTATTTTGGACAGTTATTTAGTCATCACCCTCTTTTTACCCTCCTGACATTAGATCTCCAGATATTGACTTTAAATTCCATAGGATATGAATTTAATAACATATGTATTTTTAAATAATAAAAGTAATACAGGAATGCATGCTCAAACATGGAAAAAATACCAAAGAATACAGAATGAAGAAAATGAAAGCTTTTTGTCCAAACTGCTCCCCTATTCCCCACCCCTCCAATTCCGTTTCCCTTCCCGTAAGTAAGCACTGTTAGCAGTTTGGTGCATGCCTTTCCAAAGTGTATGGTTATAGATAAAAATACATATAGATATAAAGATAAGCACTCTTTTTTTACTAAGCACTAAGCACTAAAAAACTGTATTGGAACCACTTCCTAGGGTTAATCTCAAAACAAGAATACGGATTATCTGTCAAACATCCTGACAAATTACTGCCTACCAGAATTTTACTTTTTTTTTCCCCCAGAACACTTCTGATTTAATATCTTCTGGCATGCTTCCCAGTCATGTGGCCATGAGCTGGGAGGAGATATAAATACCACTATGGCTAATAAAATGTATGCAGAATCCTGTATGTTAAAGCATTAGTATGAATTTTTAAATCTTAAATCAGAGCTAAAGGACAAATGCCTCTCAGTAAGTCAAGGAAAGCTGGAAAAAAAAAATCATAAAGAAAAAAAGGTTTGGGCATCTCTGTGAAGGGCAGGGGAGATTCTGACTCTGATTTGATTGATCAGCAAATATTTATTATTCATCTATGCTGTAGGTGTACAGAAAGATGAGGTGTAGTCCCTGCCTCCAAAGGGCTTACCATCAGCGGGAAATCAGACTGGCCAAATAGAATGGAATCAGATAAGAAAAAGCTTTCACAAGAGCTTGAACTTGATAAAGTAATAGACAGCCAGCCTCACAAGGTATCTGTACAAAGGAGTGATACAATAAAAGCAAATTAAAAGAATATGTCTTTGGGGGCACCTGCGTGGCTCAGTCGGTTAAGTGTCTGCCTTCACCTCGGGTCATGATCTTGGGATCCCAGGGTCCTGGGATTGGGCCATTTCAGGCTCCCTGCTCAGCGGGGAGTCTGCTTCTCCCTCTCCATCTGCCCCTTCCCCTCACTCACACATGTGCTCACTCGCTCTCTCAAATAAATAAATAAAATCTTTTTAAAAAAAGAAAAAAATATGTTTCGGGTGCCTGGGTGGCTCAGTCAGTTAAGCGTCCGACTCTTGGTTTTGGTCATGATTTCATGATTTCAGGGTCATGAGATCGAGCCCTGCATGGGGATTCACACTGAGCAGCCTGCTTATGATCCTCTCTCTCTCTCTCTCTCAGGGCGCCTGGGTGGCTCAGTCAGTTAAGCGTCTGCCTTCGGCTCAGATCATGATTCCAGGGTCCTAGGATTGAGCCCTGCATCAGGGAGCCTGCTTCTCCTTCTCCCTCTGCTTTTCTGTCTGCCTACTTGTGATCTCTCTCTCTGTGTGTCAATAAAATCTTAAAAAAAAAAGCTTCTCTCTCTCTCTCTCTCTTCCCCTCTGCCCCTCCCCCCACTTTCCATCCCTTCAATTCCATTCTGTAACTACTGCCTTAGCTCTGACTTTTAGGACTTTGCCTATTGCAAGGAGCTAGTGTCCAGCACTCAACTATCTCCCCATCCTTCTTCTTCCCAGGCCATCCTACACACAGCCACAAGAATGTTTCTAAAGGTCCAAGAGGGCCCCTTTCTGTTCAAAGGTCAAAAATGTCTCCCCTTTGACCACCACATAGTCTGAGCTTTTTAGTGCGAAGTTCAAGACCCTCCCATAAATCATGCTAGTCTCCTTACAGACTTGTCTCCCATTCCCTAATATGAACCTATTACTCCACTGAAATTGAACTACTTACTATTCCCCAAACCTCTTCTGTGCTGTCCTCATGTGATCCCCCACCCTTACCCCACCTCCAGAGAAAAGCAGAGTCGGAGAAAACAGCTAGGAAGCTGTTGAATAATTCAGGTGTGGGCTGATGCCACCAGGGAGAAGGTAGTGAGTGTGAGAATGCAGAGGACGGCTGATGGCAGCAGATCTTCCTGATTGGACACAGGGTTTGAAAGAAAGAGATGAGTCAAAGGTAACTAATTTTGGGCTTGAGGCAGCAAACACAATTCCTTCTCCATAACTGCTTATTCCTCATCCTTGCAGTTGTTGGAAGTTCATATTTATTTCATACTGCCTGTGTGACCTGGGACCACATATAATTAATGATTTCTCTATACTTTAGGTCACTAATATATATTTATTTAAAATAATACAGGCAGCACCTGGGTGGCTCAGTCGTTAAGTGTCTGCCTTCTGCTCAGGTCATGATCCCAGGGTCCTGGGATCGCGCCCCGAGTTGGGCTCCCTGCTCAGCGGGAAGCCTGCTTCTCCCTCTCCCACTCCCCCTGTTTGTGTTCCCTCTCTTGCTGTCTCTGTCAAATAAATAAATAAAATCTTTTAAAAATAAAATAAAATAATACAAGCAGAACAAAATACTTTAGGAGCTAGAAGTCAAGACACAATCTAAAATATTGTTGTGGGATTAAATATGCCACATTTCACATAACCTATGTGCATTTAATAGAATCTTTCATTTCATTATCAGTGTGGTTTGGAATATAAAGCTTATGAGACTATCTCATGAAAAACAACATGAGAAATTCATCTGGGTCTGGTAACAGCTGGAGCCAGGCACCTCAAAGCTCAGGGCTTGGGTTTCTCTAGCTCCGTTCTCTTGTTAGGTGGGGTCTGCTTTCTTCTCAGTCACCCTGCCTCCTCTTCCCATCCCATCTGACACCAGCTCTGAGACCACCAGGTTTTACAGTTTGAGAAATCTGGGAGTCAGTACCCAGTAATGACTCTAGAATCAGAGGGCTTGGCTGTTGAATTGTGTGCCTGTCTTGCTAGCTACAACCTGGGGCAAGTGAGTTAACCTACTGACCTCAGTTTCTTCAACTGTAAAATGAAAATAATATTAGTACTGTCTCAATAGGGCTATTTTCAGGATTAAATGAGTTAATATATATGAGTTTAGATTGGAGCCTGGCATTTGATAAGTGCTCAGTGAATGTTAACTACTAACCAAGCTTTGATTAAATTTGGAAGAACAAAAACCCTTGCTATCTACTAACTTAGCCAACAGGGGTCAGTACACAGCAATCCACATGGGGAAGCTAAATAAAATGCTTAATGGGCGTAAAAAAAGATTTTCAGTGTTTGAGGAAACATCAGTGCTTCAGAAAATTTTTGTAAAATGGTGTTAAGAAAAATCAGTAACCATAAAATTAAGCAATTAGCGAGAAACATAGGAAGAGAAAAAAAAAGGCAAAGTAATTAAATAATAAATACATTTAGAATGTCTAAAAACAATTTAAAATGCAGAAGGACATTTTAAGTGGGAATGCTCCAAAGCAGAGGCCTTGAGAATTCATGATGCAGTAGAGTACTATCTTGCCAACAAGAGCAACTTGCTCACTGAAGTAACCAAGTACGAATTTCAAGTTCTACCTTGATGTTTGGGGGATGGGAGAGGGTATGAACCATCCTATTTTCCGATTACATGACAACAGTGTTATTGCTTATTGAGTGTTCACTGTATGTCAAGTGCTTTACACACATCACCATATTTCTTTGACTTTTTAACATGAAAATGTTGAAATATATAGGATAGAATAATAAAATGAACACCCATATACACATCAATCAAGCACTGAACACTTTCCATATTTTAATTTTTCTATATTATTTTAAAATAAATATAGATATCAAAAATTTTACCCCAAAATATATTAATATGTATATCTAAAAATAGAGACATTTTTCTACATCAGCACAATACTATTATCATACCTAATAAAAAAGCAGTTGTTTAATATCATCTCATGCCCTAGTTCATATTCAGATTTAATTGTCCCCAAAATATCTTTTATATCTGGTTTATTGAACCAGAAACAAGGACAAGCCATTGCATGTAGTTATTGTGTCTCTTAGGTTTCTTTTAATCTAGAACAGCCTGCCCTCTGTCTTGCTTTTTTGTTTGTTTGTTTTGTAATTACACTGACTTAAGAGACAGCCATTTGTTCTGCAGGATGTTCAGAATTTTTCTAATTGTTTCCTCTTGGTGTCATTTTATTCTTCTATCCTTGTAGTTCCTGCTTGAGCGTGATTATATAGAAGTGAAAGAGTTTGGGAAACAATCCTTCACAGACAAAACGGGGGCATCATATTGTATCACATCAGGAGGCACATAATGTCTGATTGGTCCACTTTTAGTGATTATAAGATTGATCTAGGTTAAGATGGGAGGGACCAGATTCCTTCATTGTCACTATGTTTTTCTTCTGACTACAGCTAGCAATCCCTGGGGGATAATTTGGCCCTAGGTGACTATTCTGTTCCCTGTCACCCTTTCACCACATGGTTTCATTGATGATCCTGTAATGAATCAGTTATTTCATTAGGGGCTACAAGATGGTGATTTTCTAATTCTATCATTCATCTTACATTATTTAGCTGGAAAACTTTTGTAAAGAGAACTGTTTCCTCATCAACTGGGACTATTTGGTTACCCTGAAATACAGCTGCAAGTAGGAGGGCAGGATAAATGTTTAATTTATTTTCTTAAATTACCACTTTTCAGAGTAAAGAGTTGCTGTAACAGTCACCATGGCAAACGAGGCTTTTAAAAATTGTTTTTTATATTTGGTTTATTCTTTTGGTGGGACTTCTTTGACATTTTCAATCAATTGCAGTCATTATTTTTGGTGCTCAAATTGTTCTAATTTTGGCCAGTGGGCATTCCTTCAAGCTGGCTCCCATATCCTTTTGAAAGGACCTTGTTTTTTTTCTTGGATACCTCCAGATTTCACTGTCACAAGATGTCCCAAGCGCTCCTATTCATTCCCAGCTTTTGACCTGGCATATATCATTTCTCCAAGGAGCCCTGGGACCTTTTAGTGGAGAGTGGTATTTAGGGATCAAAATCTGGGTGCCAAGGATAACCACTGCCCTGAGTTCAAATTAATATTTTCATTTCAAAGTTAACATAAGGTTTTATTTCTTGTTTTTATACTTTTATATCTTATTTTACACTGGAGTTTTTGCGCCTAATAACATTAACAAAATTATTCTTTAAATACTTAAACCAACCCTATGAGATAGGGGATTATAAGTTATATAACTGTGATCATAATTCATGTTAAAATCGCTATTTTACAAGGAGGAAACCGTTATGAGAGGTGGCCAGTAAATGGCAGCGTTGGGATTTGAACCCGGCACGCTATTTCCATCCGGGAAGGGAGTCCCAGACATTCAGAGGGTCTTCTCCACGTTAAGTGATCAGGGCTGGGGATGCGAGAACCAGCATGAGGGGGAAATTGACCCGTCGTGGCCGACTGCTTCGAACCGGGAGGGCAGGGCGGCGGGCGAGCTCCCTAAAGAGCACGAAACACCTGGAACCACGCAGGCACCACCTTAAGGAGAGAAAACCTGGTTAGGAACCACGCGGAGCAACCCCCAAACCGAACCCACCGGACCTGACCCGCCTCCGCGTAGCGCCCGCCCACCCACCAATCGTACGGAGCCTGGAGCATCGGGGCGGGACAACAGAGGAGTATGTCCAATGAGGAATCGGCTCGCGGTCGCCTCAGGGCTGAGCATTTCAGGGTCCTAACTGGAGAGCGAAGAGGGGGTGGCGGGCTTGGCCAATCATAGGGGGAGACTCAACATTTGGGCGCGCAGCCAGTCAGACGAGCGGTCGCGTCCGATTCGCCCGGCCCACGCTTCCCGCCTTTCCGCTAACTCCGGAGGCCCCGGCTCGTTAGCCACCGGACTTGGGACGCCCGCAGTCCTCTTCTCACAGTCCTGTCGCCGACCCCGGGGCCGCGCGGGTGTCTGGTGGAACATGGCGAATTCGGGCTGTGAGGACGTCCGGGGCCAGGAGGGGGAGAGTTTTCTGTACTTCGCCTACGGTAGCAATCTGCTGACCGAGCGGATCCACCTCCGAAACCGGTCGGCCGCGTTCTGCTGCGTGGCCCGCCTGCAGGTCAGTGCTGCCGGCGCGCGGCCCCTGCAGTGCCGTGCCCACCCTGCGGACGAGAGGGCAGGATTTCGAGAAGTCGCTTTCTCGGGGCCGGGAATGCAGCTCTTGCTGATAAGAGCACGTCGGGGCTGTCTTCACCGTCTGGCTTGTGCCCTCCTGGGCGAGCCCGCCTCGCCCCCACGGCGCTGTGCCCGCCTGGCAGCTGTGCGCCCCCGGGCCGCCCTGAGCCCCCCTGCTGACTTTCCCCGGGAGGCTCCTTCTGCCCAGACCTGGCCGCCTCGGTCTTGCCCACCGACTTAGGGGAGCGCTCACAGCATCCATTCGCTCCGTGCCTCCCAGACGCCTTCTCTGCCCCAAGTCAGGGAACGCGTGGCGTTCTCTTCCCTGCCACACACCTTCGCTGCAGGGCTTGTCAGCTGGTATTGTAAAACTCCGTTCACCTGTCCCGCTCCCGATGGGAGAGGTCCTGAAAGCTGGCACCGTGTCGTAGTCATAGTAAGGGCCGTGCTCAGTTCAGCCAGGTGGCTGGGTGAACCATAACACACGTTGGTAAAAGTCATTGCTCTTCAGGGGCGCCTGGCTGGCTCAGTCGGAGGAGCATGTGACTCTTGGTCTCAGGGTCTGAGTTCGAGCCCCACGTTGGGCGTAGAGATTACTTAAATAAATAAAAACTTAAAAATAATTGCTCTTCAGTACAATCCGTTCATTCCTTTGGTAGATTTTTTTCCCTGCAGATACAAAAGTGATAAAGTGGGCTGCCTTGAGGACCCGTCCATGTCTATAGGAGGGACACACCAAAAAATTATGTACGAAACCTTTTGACATTGTCGAATTAGACAAACATGGTCTCTGCTGTCCTTGTCAGGTTCTTAGTGGCAAGCAACAGAAAGTGGCTGATTTAAGCAGAAAAAGAATGTGTTGAAAGGCTGTTGGAGGCCTCACAGAATGACCAGGAAGGTAGGACCACAGAGCTGACAAAACAGGGAGGCATAGGGGCGCCTGTGTGAGTCGGTGGGTGGAGCATGGGGTTCTTGATCTCAGGGTTGTGATTTCAACCCCACTTTGGATGTGGAGCCTACTTTAAAAACAAAACAAAAAACAGGCAGGCATAGAGGGAGGTACAGCAACCACAACAGCCCCGGAGGCCACTGGCGCGCCTCTGCTGAACTTCGTAAACATGGACACTAAGTTGTGCCTCACTGACCCTGTCTGCTTCGGACCTTGCCTGCTACTGTCACTCCTGCAGTTCCTGAAACCTAGATGAGGCCACCACCTCCGGGATGTAGTTTCTGCTGTCCTTGGGCACTAGCACTAGCTTCTAATTCAAAGTCGCAGGTGGGTGTCCTGATTGGCTAACCCATGGCCACATGCCCATGCCCTGACTGCAAGCAAAGCTGCGAGAACCAACTGCTGGCATTTGAAGCCTCAGAAATGGGAGTTGGGCTCTAACACTTTCTACCCCCCAGACTCCTAAGGTAGGGAACTGCCCAAATGTGGAAAAGAAGTTCAGATGCTTATAGTTGGGACAAGTGGAAGAGTTATCAAACAAGTGATTATTCAGTTACACATATGGTGAGTTTAAAAAGGAGACATGTACCTTCCTCTCAGTTTTGCTGTGAACCTAAAACTGCTCTAAAAAAAAGTGAAGGCTTTAAAAAAGAGAGAGAGCGAGATCTACAAGGTGCTATGTGAGTGTATGACTTGGAGGTCCTGACCTAAGAGCTTAGTAAAGCTTTTCCTGAAAATATGACTTTTAAGCTGAGACCTGAATGATTGGGCAGGGGGAGACAAAGAAAAGAGAAGGAACAGCATGTACAAATGACCTCAGGAAAGAAGCTGGATCATCCAGCTGCTGTGGCTGGAGTTTAGTGTGTGAGGAGGATATTGCTTGACAACCAGAGAGGTAGAAGGACCACATGTTACAGGATCACAGAGGCCAAAGAGGACTTTGGTCTTTATCTTGAGAGCAATGAAAAGATCCATTGCAGAATTTAAGCAAATGAAAGATTAGATTTACAACTTTGAAAGCTCATTCTGGTTGCTATGGAAAATAGATTGGAAGGAGAGACAACAGTTGATGTGGGGAGCCCAGTTAGAAAGCTTTTGTAGCAATCCATGCTAAAGATAATGGCACCTTGAACTCAAGTGGTAGCAGTGGTGGGTAGATGGGTTGGGGAGATACTTAGGGGATAACAATGTTAGGCCTTGGTGATTGATTGTGAAGGGAGGAAGAGATAACAGGGGTGACTAAGATTTTTGGTGCAATAGGGTGGATGATGGTGATATTTGTAAAGAGGAGAATCCGTTTTGGAGGGAAAGTCAAGCTCAGCTTAAATATACTGAGTTTGAGATGTTTGTTACACATCCAAGTGAGCAGAAAAATATTAGTGAGCATTTATTAAGTACTCACTGTGTGGTAGACCCTGTTCTAAGCATTTTTGAAGTTTAGAAGAGAGATCTGGGTTGGATTAAAAGATGATTGGAATATCGGATGGTATTTGAAGTTATCGGAAGGGATAGATTGTCTTGAGCAAATTGCTGATGAACAAGAAAAGGGGCCTAAACTGAGCCCTTAGCAACTCTACCATTTGAAGACCAGGTATGGAAGAGGAGTTAGCAAAGGGAATTGAGATCAGGGAACAGTCTGAAAGTCAGGAAGGAGGCAGATCAAGACAGGCTGGTTAACTCTGTCGGAAGCAGCTGAAAAGTGGAGCAAGAGGAGGAATGAAAATTGTCCATTGGATTCAGCAGTAAACAACCAGTACCTAATGTGGTTGTGACTTTTTATCAGCTCTCCTGATGTCCTGCCAGGGCTGCTTGGCCCTAAAACATCCAGTATACCAATTGAAGATACTGGGCACTCAAACCAACCTTTTTCCTGAAATGTCTAACATTTTTAAGAAAATAAAGGTGACAGAGATAAAATATAAACCTTAAATTTAGTATCTAGTCCAACCTTTTTTTATTATTAAGGAAACTAAGCTCTGGAAAGATGGATAGAAATTTTCTACACCAAATGGCCAAGTAAGGGTTTGTAATCTTCCCCAGGATTTTCTCCTCTGATTACCCATCTCTATAGGGAAGAAGCTAAACTAGAAACCTGGCAGGACGCCTGGGTGGCTCAGTCAGTTAAGCGTCTGCCTTCGGCTCAGGTCATGATTCCAGGGCGCTGGGATTGAGTCCCACATCGGGCTCCCTGCTTGGCGGGGAGCCTGCTTCTCCCTCTGCCTGCCGCTCCCCTTGCTTGTGTTTTCTATCTCTCTGTGTGTCAAATAAATAAATAAAATCTTTAAAAAATAAAAATAAAAATGAACTAGAAACCTGGCTCCATTACTTATTAGTTGTGAGACCTTGGGCAAGTTGCTTAATCTTTATAAGCCAGTTTTTCTTGTTGTTAAATGGGTATAATAAAGTTGTTGGCAGGATAAAAATGAGTCCACATAAAGCTCATAATGCAGTTATAGAACCTAGTAATGTACTAGTGTTAGCTGCTCTTAATGTTTATTATAGATATAATAGTACAATTCATGAATGCTAGATTAATGTTAGGAAGTATACAAATCACCCTCAAATGCTGGCTCCTTGAGGACAAACATGGTGATACATGCTAGTAGGATACTCTCTATGTACATAAAAGTAGGTTATAACCCCTATGTAGCTACCCAGCTTCAACAATTATGTATACTATGGTTGCCTCTAAGTTAAAATCTACGTGTATGTAGGTAGACTGGGAAGTAATTTTTAAAAATGAAAATAGTTACATTAAGGCATTGGGATTATGGGGTTTTTTTTTAACCAATTTATGGCAAAATATATATACATATGTATATTCAGTATACATTTCATTTTTAAAGAAAAATATGAAAAAATAGAGTCCTTGAGATCCGGGTCCTTGTTTATCTTTGTATTTTTTACAGCTTCTTATGCAGAGAAAGAACTCAAAGTTTATGTTTTAATTGCATGGAGTTCAAGGTAAATTTTTTTTTTATATTGAAGAGGGAAATTTTGGTTCAAGTGGATATTGATCAAATCATTTTGGCTTCCTTTGTAGGATTATAAGCTTGACTTTGGCAATTCCCAAGGCAAAACAAGTGAAACTTGGCATGGAGGTATAGCCACCATTTTTCAAAGTCCTGGCGATGAAGTATGGGGAGTAGTATGGAAAATGAACAAAAGCAATTTGAGTTCTCTGGATAAGTAGGTGGCTTCTAATTATAAGTTAAATAATAACTAATTCAGAAAGTGGATCATATGCAAAGATGTGTATATATATATGTTGGTTTTTCAAAACCATATACTACATTCTTTACACTGTAGAGTTAACATAAAAAGTATAATGTGCATATCCTAAAAAGCCTAGGGGTGCCTGACTGGCTCAGTCTGTAGAGCATGCAACTCTTGATCTCAGGGTTGTGAGTTCAAGCCCCACATTGGGCATAGAGCCTACATTAAAAAAAAAAAAAAAAAAAAAGCCTAGAAGGGTCACTTATTCCAGTTGAGATTTGGGGGATATTTATAATCTCTTCTGTAAAAAAATGGAAGTCTTTATTTTTGTTCTGTTTATCTTTTATTTAAAAAAATCTCTTTGTAGTTTCATATTGTGAAAAGGCATGAAGATGTTTGTAATTGTTGCATCTTTTTATTGGTTTCAAAAGCAGTTCAGTTTTTACTAGAGTCAGTTTTTAAAAAATAATTCTTTAAGGTGGCAGTTGAATCAATAAAAAAGTAATAATTTGTAAAAACTTTGACAACATACTAGAAATGTTTTGATACTGTTTATAACTAGAACTCTCCGGTTGTGTGGTAGAGCATGTATACAAAGAAAGTTGGCAGAAAAGAGTAGGAGTTGAAAAGAACGCATTATCTGATATGCATGATACTTTATGTCACTGGTGAATAGGAGTGAGCCATTCTCTCTACTTTTCTCTGGGTGGATATTCTCTTGTTGTCAGAACACATAGTCATTTTTTGTAGCCTAGAGAGCAGTGTTGAGGGGTATAAAGATTGAAATAACTATATTCAAGCATGGGTTTATATAGGATAAATATAGAGATCTGTTAGAAGTATACTAAGTAATGCTAAATCTGAGGCTTTCCAAATGAAATGCTAGGTTTACTTTTGATGTGGTAGTATTTATAATATGTTCTACCATATCCCAAAATACAAAGGGAGCAAGTACATCCATATATAGTTAAATTTTTAATCCAGTAAACTAACTTGGCTAAATCATATATGGTTAAAATTTGGCTGTTCTGGTTTCAGGCAAGAAGGGGTTAAAAGTGGAACATATGTCCCAATAGAAGTTAATGTTTATACTCAAGAAGGAAAAGAAATAACCTGTCGAAGTTATCAGATGAAAAATTATGAGAGTGCTCTGCCATCCCTCCAGTATAAAAAGGTAAGCTACTTACAAAGACTGTTCGCAATTCCTTTTTAATTTTCACTGAGCTAAACTAAAAAATATCTTGTTTTAAAAAGGCTATGTGTGCATTAAATTCTACACAAACACTTTTTTTTTGCCTGCCCTACCCCTATGAACACTTCATTTTAATAAAAATGTTTTTAATACAAAAATGATAGTTATTTACCTAACATGCAAATTGAAAAATATTCAGATTTATTTGTAAAAATAGAACTATGTTCCTAAAACAGATTTATTAAAAAAGACTGTGGAAATCTATATGAGCCATAATTCTAGATACATGTTTTCTTTCCTAAAGTAGAAAATAACACATATGCATGTATTTTTAGTGGATTTATTCTATGCATAGGCTTTTGTAATCATTTTTTCTCCACAAAACAGTATTTCATAACACCAAGATTCATTTTTATGGGGAAAAAACACATTTCCTATTGCTGAAATGTTTTCCATCCGTAGATGGAGGGGAAAAAAGTCGCACTCTTTCTTTCTTTTTTTTTTTAAGATTTTATTTATTTGACAGAGAGAGCGAGACAGCGAGAGAGGGAACACAAGCAGGGGGAGTGGGAGAGGGAGAAGCAGGCTTCCCGCTGAGCAGGGAACCCGATGTGGGGCTCGATCCCAGGACCCTGGGATCATGACCTGAGCCGAAGGCAGATGCTTAATGACTGAGCCACCCAGGTGCCCCAAGTCACACTCTTTCAAAATCAGAGAAACTACTCCCACAAGCATAGGAAAAGAATGTGGGATAGAAACCCCAACATCCCTTTTTAGAAACCCAAACTTAGGTACTATTGGAAGGCCCAATCAGGACATAGCACGTGGAGTGGATGACCCAGTTCCTGGGCCTAATCTGGAATTTTCTAGTATGGAACCTAGAGGAATTAGCCTGGTATGGATCTGGGAAGTACCACTGAACATAGTTACCATCTATTAGCTCATTTCATATCAGAGGTAGAGTAGACTCCCAGATTAACCTAAAACTGCTCCCTATAAACTTTACATTTTTTTTAAAGAATGGTGTTTTTTCTTAATAGATCATGCCAGTTCTATACAATAAGTTTTTGTCTTAATATAAAAATATTTTAAATTAGAATGACTAGAATCAAAAACACAAGAAATAACAAATGTTAGCAAGGATGTGGAGAGAAAGGAACCCTGATGCGATGCTGGTGGGAATGCAAGCTGGTCCAGCCACTGTGGAAAACAGTATGGAGGATCCTCAAAAAATTAAAGATAGAATTACCATATGATCCAGTAATTCCACTACTGGCTATTTACCCAAAGAAAATGAAAACATTCATTTGAAAAAATATATGCACCCCTATTTTACTGTAGCATTATTTACAATAGTCAAGATATGGAAGCAACCCAAGTGTCCATCCATAGTTATGGCTAAATAAGACATGGCGTGTGTGTGTGTACATATACACATACATACAATGGAATATTATTCAGCCATAAAAAAGAATGAGATCTTGCTATTTACAGCAACACGGATGGACCTAGAAGGTATCATGGTAAGTGAAATAAGTTAGACAGAAAGACAAATACCATATGATTTCATTCATACGTGGAATCTATGAACAAACAAATGAATAGACAAAAAAACACCCAGACTCTTTATCTACAGAGAACAAACTGGTGGCTGCCAGAGGGGAGGTGGGTGGGGGATGGGTGAAATAGGTGAAGGGGATTAGGAGCACACTTACCATGATGAGCACTGAGTGATATAAAGAATTGTTAAATCATTATACTGTACACCTGAAACTAATATAACACTGTATATTAATTATACTTTAGTGTTTAAAAATATTTTAAACCATATTATTGAGTGAAATTGATCCTCCATGAGAATGTATCATGTGGCCTCGAAAACTCCCTGCACATTCATGCTCACTATAAGAGGAATGATTCTATTTTGTTCTATAACTGTTTATTCTAGAGTTATCTAGAAGTTATCATAAAGCTGTGGTATATTAAATTGTGTTCCTAATTAAAAGGTGCTTTTGGTTTCTTTTAACCATTTCTAGGTCATTTGCCTAGGTGCAAAAGAAAATGATTTGCCACTGGAGTATCAAAAGAAGTTAAATGCAGTAGAACCAAATGACTACCAAGGAGAAGTCTCAGAAGAAATTGAAGACATTATCAAAAAGGGAGAAACAAAAGTTCATTAGAACATAATAGATATTTTAGATAGAAATCTAAATTATAATAGAAAATACAGATATTTTCTGTATGTGCTAATATATTTTTAACATTTGGAAAAGAGATCTGAGGTATCTGTATGTTTAATATATTTTCAACAGTGCTCTGAAGGGATATCTTACTTAGGTAATTCCTTGTTTTCAGACTCGAAAAAGAAACTAGGTTAGAAATTAGATAATTGAGGGGCGCCTGGGTGGCTCAGTCAGTTAAGCGTCTGCCTTCGGCTCAGGTCATGATCCCAGGGTCCTGGGATGGAGCCCTGCGTCAGGCTCTCTGCTCAGCGGGGATTCTGCTTCTCCCTCTGCCTGCTGCTCCACCTGCTTGTGCTCTCTCTCTCTCTGTGTCAAATAAATAAATAAAACCTTTAAAAAAAATTAGATCATTGAAAAGGAGGCCATGATGCACTGGAATGCATGACAAATGGATGTGGGTACTCCTTCCATGAACACTTAAAGTTATTTTCTGGAGTTGAGTGTATTCTTGCTCTGTGACAGAGGAGAGATTTGCAACTTAACGATCGTGCTGGTGAATCACTCTGCTCTGGGATTTTTTTTAATCAGCTTAATAAGAGCAAGCAAACTGCAGAGACAGTTGATATATATTTTTTTTTTAATTTAAAAATGGCATACTATTCTTAGAGAAATAAATGTATTTGTGGTTTAACCTGTCTTCCCTACTGAAGTACTATTTCACTTTGTTAGAGACTCATATCCTCACCCATACTGGGTCTGATGTTGGCTGTACACAGTCCATACTAGAGGATTATTGCACAGACTCTGGAACCGGACAGCCTCGGATCAGTTGTCAGTTCTACCACATTCTAGCTGGGAGACTTTGGGTTATCTGACTCTTTGCCTCAGTTTGCTCCTCTATAGAGTGAGAGCAGTTGAAACACCTATGTCCTAGGATTATTTTGAGGAGTAAGTATATGTAATAAGCTTAGAACCGAGCCTGGCACGTAATAAGTATTAGAAATCACTAATGTTCTTATTGAAGAATAAGTTTATACAGAGCCATCCTTGGAACAGGATTTTAAAGTAGAAGAGTTAAGATTATGAGGGGAAAACGTTTTTTGAAAGCTCCAGTTTGACTCTTGGCTTCTTAAATTTATTTACTGAACAAATGGAAGAAAGAAGAGTCATGAATAAAACAGCACTGGTTATCAAAAAACCAGGTCTCTGGAATGCAGTGAGCTAGACTTTTGAAACAGGTTATTGGAATGAAATGAGCTAGCTGCAGGAACATAAAGATTTGGTTCTCTTGGGAAAAATAACCAAAGAACTTTTCAGCTACAGCTGATGAAGTGGGACTGAACCATAGACTTCAGGTTAGATCATGTTTTATAGCTGTTACACCTCTAATATTCTAGTTTCCTCCAGTTCGTAACTCCTCCCAAGAAGACCAAGTTTGTCAGTACCTAGAACTCAGTTATGGTAATATAGTGAGCAAGGCTGAGCTTTGTTGTAAAAATAGAATATTATTGTAATCTATCTCACCCACCTAAAATGACAAATTTCATTAAGGAATTTAAAACATTAACAATAAAACCTTCATGTCTGGCCTGTTAATGAAAATCTGGTAATCATGAGGAATACTGTTTCTCCAGTCATTTTCAAGGTAGTAATACCAAATATCATATGTAAGGAATTTGCATTTCTACTAGTGATTTTGGCCCTCTAACCACAATACAACCAACTGGATAAACTATAACAAACAGTTTTATGAAGAGCATTTCTGAGCTTGCAAGAAAATAAGGGAAGTCTTCAAGATATACCAATCCCTGTCCCACAAAAAGAAAAAGACACTTTCCAGCACTGGTAAACAAGTGACGCTGAGATCTTTGGGTACAAATGCCAATAATAGCCCTGGAATTTGACTGCTAACCCTTGAGCAATCCCGCTGCACGACAGGAAAACAACCTGAAAATTCTGTATGAAACTGGGACCCTTGAAGAGAACTAAAATGGTCTAATTTAGGTCCTCAGAATGTCCACCTGAAAATTTAAAAGATAATAAGGAAAATGATGCATCATAAGTGAGAACAGGAAAAACACCTAGATCCCCAAGGTTTTGAGATACTGAAATGATCAGTAACAGTATAAAATAAGCATATATGGAGACTGACTTCTGGAAGGATGGAGTAGACATACTCTTCCTTATTCCTTCTGTTAAGTACAACTAAAATCCCTGAACATTATATATAAAACGACTCTGAGAGGGAGAGAGAAACCAGACTAGACAGAGACAAGACACAACATGGTACTGAATTCCCTGGGTTTTCTCTTGCCTCCTACATCTCAGACTTGTACCTGAGGAAGCCAGCAATCTGAAAGCACCAATGAGAACAGACAAGGAAAACCTACTCTGTAGTAAAAGGACTAGGAAATGGACAATCTAGCAAGACAAAACTTTCAGAGAATAAGTGTTCTGCAGCCAAACAGCACAAAGAAAAATTATGGACCTCCCCCACACCTCTATACCCATGCCAGGAAAGGTCAAGAGGGGAGCCTAGACTTCCACCCTCACCAGGCTGTAGCAGGGCACCCTAACATTGTCCCCTACCACAACTACCGGTGCAGTGTCAGAAAAGGCTGAGTAGGGTGCCACCCAACAGTAATAGGCCGTCTCTCCCCCACTCCCCATAGAGTGGAGACCATGCGGGAACCTGGACTTAAACTGCCCATCGGGCATTACCAAGGTGCCTCCCTCTCTGCTGGGGTGGTGTCAGAGTCCAAGTGGTAGGTCAGGACTTTTATCACCACCCAGTGGTAAAAATGCCACCCTTCCCTGCTATATCAGTGAACACCATATAGTGGGCAGTGATAAGGCTTTCCTACTCCTAGGAGCTGGGGAATTACCAGTGGAGGCTTATTGGGGGCTTGGAACTTCCACCTCCACTCAGGTTCCTTGGGTGACAACAGTAGCTGAGTGGGAACCTGAACTTCTACCTCCATTTAGCAATATCAAGGCAATGACCCTTGCTGCCTTCTGCTGGAGTGGTTTCAGGTGAAGCTAGTTAAAGTAGATTTCAGTAAGATCCAGAGACTTATAATTTCAAGAACGTCCGGGTTTTAACTGAAAATCTCTTTAATTCCAAGATCCAGGAAGATCTCAAACTAAATGAGAAAAGATCATGAGTAGATGCCAAAACAATTAGATTATGTTAAAGGAAAGAAGAGGTGAACTGGAAGAAAGAACAATAGAAATTGTTCTATCTAGCAGAGAAAAAACAGACTAAAAAAAAACTAACAGCCTCAAGGACCTATGGGGCTATAATAGAATCTCAGAAGGAGAGAAGAAATAAAGAGAGAAAAAGAAAAAAAAAAAAAAAAGGAGAGGAGAAAGGGCAGGCTGAAAAAGTACCCAACGAAATAATGGCTTACATGTCCTAAATTTGGCAAAAGACGTAAACCTATAGATTCGAGAAGCTACATGAAGCCATGACAGTTGGCATGTGGTTTAACTTAACACACCTAACTCCCAGGTTTGTGGTGGAATTAGCAATAGTGTACATAAAATGCCCAGCACAGTGCCTGGTATACAGTTGTTGCCTAATTAGTAGTAGTGAACATTAGAAGGAGGAGGAGCTGAGTGAACCCCAAATAAGCCCAAAGAAGTCCACACCAGACACTTGATAGGCAAACTTGGAAAAACTAACAACAAAAGTTCTTGGGAGCAGTACATGAGAAATGACGCCTCACCTGCAGGAGAAACAATTCAAATGACACCAGATTTCTCATCAGAAACCATGAAAGCCAGAAGAAAGTGGCACATTTTTCAAGTGCTGAAACAAAACTGTCAAATCAGAATCCGGTGAAAATAGCCTGTCAGAATTAAGGGGAAAATCAAGACATTCTCAGATGAAGGAAAACTAGAAAAATTTGTTGCTAGCAGGAATGGCTTAGAAAAGGAATGGCTGAAGAAAGTTTTCTAGATGGAAAAGAAGAAATAAAAAAAGGAACTGGAACATCAGAAAGGAAAAAGTAACATGGTAAGCAAAAATATGGGTAAATATGATAGACTTTCCTTCCCTTGAGTTTCTGAAATAATGGTTGAAGCAAAAATTATGACATTGTGCTTCTAAATATATGTAGAAGTAATATTTAAAATAATTATTAAAGGACTGGTATGAATGATGACACCAGTAGACTGAAAAATTATATGGATATATTGAAATAGCTAAAGAAACAGCTTAAAAAGGTATACAAACAGATACGCTTAAAAAAAACTATAGAGAGGACTGGGTGGCTCAGTCGCTTACGTGTCCGACCCTTGATTTCAGCTCAGGTCATGATCTCAGTGTCCTGAGATTGAGCCTTGTGTCATGCCCCACGCTCAGCATGGAGTCTGCTTAAGACTCTCCCTCTGTCCCTCCCCACCTGAACATGCTCTCTCTCTCAAAATAAATAAATAAATCTTTAAAAAATTTTAAAAAAGAATATGATCCAACCTTATTCTGTCTATAAAAACTCACTTCAACTATAACAATATAAGCAGTTTGAAAATAAAGAGATAGAGAAATATATATGCTGCAAACATTAATTAAGGGAAAGAATGAGTGGCTATATTAATGTCAAATAAAGTAGATTTCAAAGCAGAGCAAAGTATCAGAGATGGAGGGGCATTTTGGAACCCTTACCAATTTATTTTATGAACCCTTATTTTGTAGTCCCGTGTCAGGCTCCCCGCTCAGCGGGGAGTCTGCTTCTCCCTCTCCCTCTGCCTGCTGCTCTGCCTACTTGTGCTCTCTCTGTCAAATAAATAAAATCTTAATAAATAAATAAATAAATAAACCTACAGACAATATCCCTCATGAATATAGATGTAAACATTATTAACTAAATAGTTGTAAATAGAATTCGGTACTACATAAAAAGAACTACACATCATGACCAAAGAGGGTTTATTCCAGAGATGCAAGGCTGGCTTGATACTTGAAAATCAAAGTAATCCACTGTATTAACAAGCAAAAAAGTAAAGTGACATGATCATATCAGTTGCAGAAAAAGCATTTGGCACAGTTCAACACCCATTCATGATAAAAAAAAAAAAAGTTCTCAAGACGCCTGGGTGGCTCAGTCAATTAAGCATCTGCCTCTTGGTTTTGGCTCAGGTCATAATCTCATGGGTTATGAGATGGAGCCCCCCCAATGGGGCTCTGTGCTCAGCGGGGAGTCTGCTTGGAGATTCTCTCCCTCTGCCCCTCCCCCCACTTGCACATGTGCATGCTCTCTCTCTCTCTCAAACAAATAAATCTTTAAAAAAATTCTCAGAAAAATAGGAACGGGGAACTTCAACAATATGATAAAGAACATCTGTAAAATACCTCCAGCCAACATTATACTTAATTGTAAAAGACTGAATGAATGCTTTCCCCC